GGATATTGTTCCTTTTGGATTGGTCACACAGTTCTCTTAATATTGTTTCATTCCTGGAGATCCTTTTATCTCTCTCTATGTCTGCTTCTATGCATTCCTGTTCTCTGGTTTCAATTCCATCAATGGCCTCTTGCATCTTATCCATTCTGCTTATAAATCCTTCCAGAGTTTGTTTCATTTCTGTAATCTCCTTTCTGGCATCTGTGATCTCCCTCCGGACTTCATCCCATTTCTCTTGCATATTTCTCTGCTTCTCTGTCAACATGTTTATGATTTTTATTTTGCATTCTTTGTCAGGAAGACTGGTTAGGTCTGTCTCCTTCTCTGGTGTCTCTGTGATCTTGGTTTGCCTGTAATTTTGTCTTTTCATGGTGATAGGAATAGTTTGCAGAGCTGGGACTAGTGACGGCTGGAAGAATTTCCCTTCTTGTTGGTTTGTGGCCTTCGTCTCCTGGGAGAATAGCGACCTCTAGTGGCTTGTGCTGGGTAGCTGCACGCAGACAGGGCTTCTGCTTCCTGCCCAGCTGCTATGGAGTTTATCTCCGCTGTTTCCGTGGGTGTGGCCTGGCTCGGCTGCTGCTCCAAAGCGGTGGAGTTGCATTGGAGGGGGAGTGGCCGGGAGGCTATTTATCTCTGTAGGGGCCTCCATGTTCCCTGAAGCCCAGGGGATTAGAGTGCCCAGAGATCCCCGGGTTCCCTACCTCTGGACTAAGTGTCCCATCCTGCCCATTTAAGACTTCCAAAAATCACCCGCCAAAACAAAAAAACCACACACACACAAAAAAAACGGCCACTCGTTTTTCTTTATTCTCCGGCGCCAGCCTCAGGCACCCGCTCACTGGTCTTGCTGCCCTGTTTCCCTAGTATTGGGGTCCCTGTCCCTTTAAGACTTCCAAAAAGCACTTGCCACAACAAAACAACAACAACAACAACAACAACAAAAGATGGCCACTCGCTTTTCTTTTGTCCTCCGGTACCTGCTCGCCATTCTTGCTGTCCTGTTTCCCAAGTATCCAGGGCCCCGCGCATGCACTGTGTCTGCGCTCTGGTCTGGATGGCTGGGGCTGGGTGTTCAGCAGTCCTGGGCTCCTTCTCCCTCCTGCTCAGACCTCTCTCCTCCCACCGGGAGCTGGGGGGAGGGGTGCTTGGGTCCCGCCGGGCCGGGGCTTGTATCTTACCTCCTTTGCGAGGCGCTGGGTTTTCGCAGGTGTTCATGTGGTCTGGATGTTTTCCTGTGTCCTCTGGTCTCTCTTTTAGGAAGTTGTCTTTGTTATATTTTCATAGATATATGTGGTTTTGGGAGGAGATTTCCACTGCTCTACTCACGCCGCCATCTTGGCTCCACCAGGCTTCACCTTTAACCTCATTTTATAGACTCATTTTTGTGGTTCTAGATGTAATCTCTGGCAGCTTCTGTATATTCTTCTGGTTGCTTTCAGGTAATAAACAGTCCTGGTTTTGAAATACAAAGAATTATCAGAGATTACCATGAAAAACTATATGCCAATAAATTGGACTACCTAGAAGAAATGGACAAATTTCTAGAAAAATACAACCTTCCAAGACTGACCTAGGAAGAAACAGACCCAAATCAGAACAGAATAATTACCAGCAATGAAACTGAATTGCTAATCAAAAAACTACCTAAAAACAAAGCCCCTGACCCAGATGGCTTCATGGCTGAATTTTATGACATTTGAAGGAAGAGCTAATACCCATTTTTCTTAAAGCATTCCAAAAAGTAGAAGAGGGAATACTTCCAAACTCATTCTATGAAGCCAGCATTACTCTAATACCAAAACCAGACAAAGACACCACAAAAACAGAAAATTATAGACCAATATTCCTGATGAACATAGATGCAAAAATACTAAGCAAAATATTAGCAAAATGAATTAAAAAATACATCATAATGATCATCCGTCATGACCAAGTGGGATTTATTCCAGGGATGCAAGGGTGGTACAATATTCAAAACTGCATCAATATCATACCCCACATCAACAAAAAGAAGGATAAAAATCACATGATTATGTCAACAGATGCTGAAAAAGCATTTGACAAAATTCATCTATTCATGATAAAAACTCTCAACAAAATGGGTATAGAGGTATGTTTCTCAACATAATAAAGGCCACATAAGACAAAATCAGAGCCAACATCATACTTAACAGCAAAAAACTGAAAGCTTTTCCTCTAAGATCAGGAACAAGACAAGGATGCCCACTCTTCCCACTTTTGTTCAACATACTACTGGAGGTCATAGCCATGTAATCAGACAACACAAAGAGGTAAAAGGCATCCAAATTGGTAAGGAAGAAGTTAAACTGCCACTATTTGCAAATAAAATGATATTATACATAGAAAATCCTAAATAATCCACCAAAAAGTATTATAATAATTGAATTCAGCAAAGTTGCAGGATACAAAATTAATATGCAGAAATCTGTTGTATTCCTACATACTAATAATGAACTAGCAGAAAGAGAAATCAGAAAAACAACTCAATTTATAATTACATCAAAAAGAACAAAATACCTAGGAATAAACCTAACAAAGGAGGTGAAAGACCTATACCCTGAAAACTGTAAGACACTAATGAGAGAAGTTAAAGAAGACATCAATAAATGGAAATCTATCCCATGCTCATGGATATGAATAATTAATATTGTCAAAATGGCCATCCTGCCCAAAGCAATCTACAGATTGAATGCAATCTCTATCAAAATACTGACAGCATTCCTCAATGAATTAGAATAAATAATTCTAAAATTTATGTGAAACTATAAAAGACCATGAATAGCCAAAGCAATCCTGAGAAGGAAGAACAAAGCTGAGGGGATTACACTTCCTGACTTCAAGCTCTACTACAAAGCTACAGTAGTCAAAACTATTTGGTACTGGCACAAGAACAGGCCCATAGATCAATGGAACAGAATAGAGAGCCCAGAAATAAACCCACACATTTTTTGTCAATTAATATATGATAAAAGAGCCATGAATTAATATATGACAAAAGAATAATGGGGAAAAGACCACCTCTTCAATAACTGGTGTTGGGAAAACTGGATAACTACATGTAAGAGAAATAAACTGGATCATTGTCTAACTCCACACACAAAAGTAAACTTGAAATGGGTCAAAGACCTTAATGTAAGTCATGAAACCATGAAACTCTTAGAAGAAAACATAGGCAAAAATCTCTTGAATACAAACTTGGGCAACTTTTTCCTGAGCACATCTCCTCGGGCAAGAGAAACAAAATAAAATACGAACAGGTGGGACTACATTGAACTAAAAGCTTCTGTACAGCAAAGTACACCATCAGCAGAAGAAAAAGGCATCCTACAGTATGGGAAAATATATTCATAAATAACTTATCCAATAAGGTGCTAACATCCAAAATATCTAAGGAAATCACATGCCTCAATACCCAAAAAGCAAAAAACCTGATTAAAAAAATGGGTGGAGGATCTGAACAGACATTTCTCCGAAGAAGAAATTTGGGTGGCCAACAAGCACATGAAAAGGTGCTTCACATCACTAATCATCAGGGAAATGCAAATTAAAATCACAATGACATATCACCTCACACCAGTTAGGACAGCCAACATCCAAAAGACAAGGAACAACAAATGCTAGCGAGGATGTGGAGAAAGGAGAACCCTCCTACACTGTTGGTGGGAATGTAAATTGGTGCAACCTTTATGGAAAGCAATATGAAGGTTCCTCAAAAAACTAAAAATAGAAATACCATTTGACCCAGGAATTCTACTCCTAGGAGTTTACCCAAAGAAAACAAGATCCCTGATTCAAAACACGAATGCATCCCTATGTTTATCACTGCACTATTTACAGTACCCAAGATATGGAAGCAGCATAATTGTCCATCAATAGATGAATAGATAAAGAGCAGGTGGTACATATACACAATGGAGTATTATTCAGCCAGAAAAAGAAAACAAATCCTATCATTTGCAACAACATGGATGGATCTAGGGGTTATTATGCTCAGTGAGAAGCCAGGTGGAGAAAGACAAATACCAAATGATTTCACTCATTTTTGGAGTATAAAAACAAAGCAAAACAGAAGGAAAAAAATATCAGTAGACTCATAGACACTGAGAAGGGATAGTGGTTACCAAAGGAAAGTGGTTGGTGAGGCTGGGTGGGGAGGGGAAGGGGATTAAGGGGCACAATAATTCACAATCACAGTATAGGTATGTCATAGGGATGGTCTTACAGCACAGAGAACACAATTAATGACTCTGTAACATCTTACTACATTGATAGTGACTGCAATGGAGGGGTGAGGACTTGGCAATATGGGTAAATGTTGAAACCACTGTGTTGTGTATTTGAAACCATCATAAGATTGTATATCAATGATACTTTAATAAAAAAATAAAAAATAAACAGGCCTGGTCTTTTTCATGAATGGGAAAAGGGGAGAAAATAATTGGTTAATATTTCCATTAATACATTCACCTTAGTATAAGGAAACAATACTTACAAATAGTAGAGTCTTCATTTCTATGACTGGTCACTTGGCCAAAACTGTGTTTTTAACTTCCTTCTCTACAATTTATTCCATAATCTCTTCTCTTTCAGAAAATGCTTCACTCAATACAGTCACTAAAAGATGTCAATATTAATGTATTTTAACCCAGCCAGTGAAATAATTTTCTAAAGCAGAAAAGCCCAAATTTGTGGGTCTGAGAAGCAAAAATAGTGGCCTACTAACAGTAACAGTGACAGGAGCCATTCCCAGTGCAACCCTTTGATTTTTGGGCTCATGAATCCTGGCTCTGGAAGAAAACAGCAACATAGAGTTGGTCACTGATAGGGGGCACATACAAGCTCCTGGAGGACATTGCCCTCCCCTGTGTTGGCACTTAGTGTTGTAACTGAGTGTCCAAAAATCATCCTAGCATTCTTTCAGGTGATCAGATACATTGTAAGACCTGTGAATTCTATGATCATAAGCCCATTACCATACCTCATTTACTGTCGAATAACTTTCTTGGTCAGAAGCTTTGCTTAGTAGAATACTGTGATAATGATTAAGATATTTTGTACACCCATAGATAGTGGTCTTGGCAGAACCATATGGACAGGGAAGTATCCATGTCCAGAGTAATACATGCAATTACAGAGTAATCCCTGTCCAGAGTACGTATCTACTAGTGTTGGTCTCTGCTGTTGGCAGGTTGGGCACTCAACAGTGGATGTAAGCATATCTGACTTAATGAATGGGAGCCCATGTTCCTCAGCCATATGCAATTTCTATCCTTGCCACCATGTACACTTTGATGCTGAGCCATGGGGCAAAGACAGAGATGATCAGAGAAAATGGTTGGGGAAAGAATGTGACACCTTGGCATCCTGACTATTAAGATCCTCTTCCAGTGAGGTTGCTGAACACTCATGTAAGACATGACTATTTTCACACTGTGTCAGTTTCAAATGGTTCATCCACATACCTCTGCCCCAGACTTCTTTGTCACCAGTTTTCCAGACATTTTCCATCCAATACCCTGAACATCAAATTGAACTTTTAGCTACAGCACAATACACCCTTTTTAGTGTACATCTGGTACCTCGGGCCATCTCTACTTCCAGGGAAAATAAACAACTATTTGTACTGCTCAAAGTTTTCTACGCTGGGAAGATTTTCCTTTCCCATTATCCTTTAAGGCCCCCTCTGAGTGAGGCAGGAGGGCTGAAATTTTCTACCTTCAGGCAGTACCTGAAATGTTTCAAATCAGGCAGAACCATCAGTAAAGTGGTCAGAAGTTTTTTGTTTTTCAGTCAGCTGGTCATAGAAAACCTCTGGTGAGGTCATATAAGTGGATTGAGAAAGAGGAGGCAGTTTAGCAGAAATAGCCATAGGAATCTGACTTGTTTATGCAACTTATTTTTGCCTTAAAGACTTTCTCAAGTCAATCATGTACACATACCACCTCCACTGATGACAAAATACTGCTGTGAATGCCCATCTTTATGGCTTTTTGGCCAATTAGCACCCTGTTTATGATGGGCAGCTCAGGTAGTGCCCAATAAAAACTGGAAGCTCTCTCTCAAAAGGAAAATAGCTATTTGAAGAGAATGGAATAGTCTGATAAAAAATCCTAAGGGTTTGCTCTGTGATTCATCTTCAGAGGCTGCCCAAAGCTTATATAGGGTCTGCAGGTCCACACAGTGCCAGACACTTCAAGCGCCATTGGATATGACAGTTTGTATGGCCCAAGGGGCAGGGAGGTTGGCACAACAGCCTGTTCTTATTGCAATGCCTTCTCTTGTTCTGGATTCTACCCAAAATGCCATGCCAGACTTTTGACTTTCCTGATAAACTGTTCAAAGCAGCATGACCAAACGAAGTATATGTTATTTTATAAAACCAAAGAGGTCCAAGAAGCATTGTACCTCCTTCTCACTAGTAGGAGAATCCA